CTCCATAAGGAACTCACAGGAAATTCTTTCTATCACCTAGACTGAGCATACAGTCATAAATACAGGCATTAAGACTCATGCAAGAAGCCATACAGAAAATGAGTGAATTACATTAACTGAGGATGAGAAGAACTATCCATTTACCATTTATTCTTTTATTTTTTCTATAATATTTCATTAACAATTTTATGCGTGCATACAATGTGTTTTGACCACACTCACGCCTGTCTCTTCCTCTAATAAGTTCCAGATCTTTGCACACCTCCTCATTCACTCTTTCTCTTTTTCATAACCCACCGAGTTCAATTCGTGTTCCCTGTGCTCTCATGGATGCAGGACCACCCACTGGAACATGGGGTGACCTCACTCAGAAGCCGTTAACTACCCATAGTGCCTCAGCTGATGTCCTGAGGACCCCTCGCCCTCCGACCCATGCTAGAATGTTGACTGCCTTGGTCTTGTATGGTCTTGAGCAGGTAACCAAGCTTCTGGGAGTTTCTGAGCGTAGAATATACTGTTTTGCTCTACTCCTTCCCAACATCTGGCTCTTACAGTCCTCCTGGTCCCTCTTCCTTAGTGGTTCCTGAAGCTCGGGGATAGTGCAGAGTGAAATAGATGTCTTGGTTGTAGTTAAGCATTCCACACATTGTTTATTTGCACTTTGCACTTTGACCAACTGTAAGTTTCTCAGTCAACAACCACAAAAAAAAAAATGTCTCTGATGAGGTCTGAGAACTGCACTAATCTAGGAGTAGAGAGATGAATTCAGAGAGAAGTTTGAGGCTATGAACAGTTAGCAGAACAATTACTAGTAGGTTCACCCTTGGGGACTGTGAGCTCCTTAACCATGGGTTCTTGGCCAAATTAGCAGTAATACTATACAAACATATATTTCCTTTATGTGAAGTGGACCTTAATACTCCCATAATAATGCCATGCTGGACATATTGTAGTTTGCAGTGTTCGCAGCTGGATAAGTTTATGACTTTTTCCTTCAGCAACCTACATAGCACTTTCTGGTACTATGAAAGCTAGCCAACAGGGACAAAGCTTCCAGCTTGATTTCTCCATATTGTGTGTCCAAATGTTTGGTGTCTTCAGCAATAGAATCTTAGCATCAAGTTCTGGTTGCCAGCCAAGTGCAATAAAATATACACACATACATACATACACACACACACGAATGATGCCTAAGGAATAATAGGTTTCTATATGGCTTTTTCAAACATCCTTGATGTTAGTTATTCCTCTCCCCACTCCCTCCTCTGACATACCCATCGAAACTCAAATGAAAATACTTAAAAGTAAATAGAGGAACAGGAAACAAAAGAATAGTGAAAGAAGTCAAGTCAGAAACTCCAAAAGAAAAGGATGATAAAAGTGATCACATTAAGAAAAAAAAAAATTGAAAGTTCTTTCAAAGAGTGGTATTCTAGTAAAAGTAACATAAAAAGAAAAGAATGACAAAATATTTCATATGGCACATAAATATACAGCTTCTACAAATCAGTAAAATTAGAGAGAGAGCCTAGTAACTCAATTCTAAAATGGTCAAAGAAAATGAAGTTATTTCATAGAAAATGCAAATAGTTCTTACATATATAAAAAGAAGTTTAACTAGATAATAAAAGATAATTACACTAACAGATATTCACATTAAAACTCATCTTAGTTATCATTTCCCACGCATCAAAAGTGGTAAGTTTCACTTCCTTGTGGGGTGCAACCTTGCTGGCCACAGAGGAAGACAGTACAGCCAGTCCTTATGAGACCTGATAAGCTAGGGGAAGATAAAAGGGGAGGAGGTCCTCCCCTATCAGTGGACTAAGGGAGGGGCATAGGTGGAGAAGAGAGAGGAAGAGTGGGATTGGGAGGCGACAAGGGAGGGGGCCACAGATGGGATACAAAGTGAATAAATTATAAGAAATAATAATAATTAATAAATATTTTTTAAAATGGTAAGTTTCAAAAAGTAAAATTGTACCCATGTTGTCAAGGTAAGGAGGCCTGGATAAACTGTTGGGAATATGCTGTCCCTTCTAAGGGAGCCTGCCCAATGTACATAGGATCTTAGTAATTCCATTTCTATGAATTCAGCATATAATTGCATCTGTATAAACTGTTGGGTATGCAGAGTCCATCACCAAATCAGCACTGGTAACAGAAAAAAGACTGGAAACTCCTTATATGTCCACCAGGTAGGGAGTTTACAAGCTACCAAAAAAGAATGAAGTATCTATTTGTTGAGAAAAAAATTACTCCCAAAGTGAAGGAGGGGAAGGGGAGGGAGAAACCAGACTCAAGCCATAAGATCAAAGTGTTACTGTTTTAGAGTGGGGACACTACTTCTTTGTTTACATACAAACTATCCCTGAAAAAGTACGTGCCAACCTGATAGCAAAACTATATGATTGCAGTATAGAGTGGAAAAGGATATTTTTCACTGTAAGTTATTACATGACTTTTAACTTCTGAGCTATATGTATCAATAAATTAAAATTCACCTGCTGGTAATTTGAAGTAAAGCCACATTAGCCACCCAGTGTGAGAATGCCAGATTTGAGGGACAGCTGACAGCACTCCCACTTGGGGCCTGTCTCTAACTCTTGCTCCATCACCAGCTTATCAGGCCACCACTCCACTCAGGGCTGTTCAGAGAAATATCAGAGGAACTGATTTCCAAGGCCTCTGTCTCTGGCAGTCAGAGATATAAATTGTAGTTTCTCCTCACACATTTCTCAACTCATCTGTCTACCTCTTCCTTTCCTCTGCAGCTCATCAAAAGCTCAGAGGAAAAGACAGACAATTGAAGAAAATAAAATTGCAAAGATGACTTTTATGGGCTCCTGTTTGATCAGTGTGTATTCCTCCTCCAAAGCCAAAAATGATGAGTTTAATATCACACAGAGAGCTGCATCTTGTTGCTCTCAGAAGACAGTATATGCTACCCAGAGAACCAGGAGCTCAGCAAGACATAATTCCTCACTCCAACTCTGAGGCAAATGAAAAGACAGTCATCAAGCCCACATTGTAGAAGCAACATGGATTTTATTTGTCAGTAACTTCATTTGAAAGTGTCCCAAGGAGGGTGAATCCTCCCATAAGTAGACAATTCTTCTGTTCCAGGATGACAAACCAGTAGGAAGATGGTTAGGTGACCAGGCTTGGCTAGTATTGGTCACTGATGTTAAGTCAATTTTGTCAGGAGTCAAGAATCCTGGGCATCAGTCCCAATTATTCTCTTTTCAACAGGCAAATCTTTTCAACAATTAAGTTTTTGTTAATCACAGGAGGATTGGTGTGTGTGTGTGTGTGTGTGTGTGTGTGTGTGTGTGTGTGTGTGTGAAAGAGAGAGATTTTCATATATAGAGATTTCATATATAGAGATTTTCATGTATATATATTTGATGTGTAGAACAAGAGAGGATCATTGTATTTGAGAGACACTGAAGATCTAATGTCCTAAAAAAAAAATGCCCTCTTGTTTCTGCCAATCTGTTGTACACCTGGTGTCATCTCCTGTTGTCTTTTTTTTTTTTTTAACTATCATTCTGCTGACAATACTGAGCATCTTGTACTTTAGGCATTAAGACCATATAGACAACTCCTCACTTTCAGGGAACTTAATAAATAATATCCTGTCAAGCTAGGAAGTGTCCTAACTAGGCAAGCAGAGACAGTCTCAGCAATGTCATTTACAGATTACAAATCCTCCCCTGCCATGAACAGTTCTTTTGTTATTGGGGAAAAGATGAGACATCACGAAAAAAAGGTTAAATGAAGGAGCTAATTAAGATTTCATGAGTAAAACTTCTAGAATGGTGCCTAGCATGCCTTAGATATGCATGAAATGATGGCAATATTACTACTGTTTGTTTCCCAGTATAACTTTGAGATTAGAATCAAAATACATATTTTTCAGATTAAAAATACCCCCTACCAAACTATCAAGGGCTAGTGAAGTCAATATAGCCATCACTTCCAAAATAAACTCTAAATATTTGCCCTGAATCCACAAAAGAATGCAGTCCTTACCGTGCCCTCACCAAGGAAAGTTCTCTTTACAGCAAATGGAGACCATTATGGAAAATCACAACCAATGAAAATGCAGCGTTATGGAGTCCCCCTGGATATTTCAACAAAACATTCCAGCACCTAAGGCTCAGGGATCATTGCAGAAGAGGAGGCAGAAATGATTTTAGGAGCCAGAGGTCTCCTAGTAATGTCACAAGCGATACCCGAAAGTTTCAACAACATGACTGCCTAAATGTGAGCTGAACAAGGACAACAGGCATGCTGTAGTGAATGGGGCAAAACCAAGGCTTCAATCCTACACAATGAAACCAAGGAATCCTACACAGGAAACCAAGGAACTTTCAGAGTAGGAAAAATTGTCTTCCCTGGGGAACAGCACACTAATGCATATACATATACATATATGCATGTAATAACAATTAATGAGAAAAAGATCATGTCTTTGAAAGAGAGCAGGAAGAGGTATGTGGGAGTTTTGAGGTAGGAAAGGGAATGGAGAAATGATGTAATTATAACCTCAAAAGTTTTCTTTTCTTTTCTTTTTTTTTTTAAATACTGAGGTTCAAAGTAGAAGCACATTTCTAGCTCCCCAGGGAAAAAGAAAAAAAAAAGCATGAATGCCCAATGTAAATGCAATGATTTCATGGAAGGTATGTTTTATTAATCACATAATAACCTCTCATCACGTCTAATCACGTTGTATGTAAGTAACTTAGTTGAAAATACTACAAAACCCTCATTTCTTGGAGACTTCTAAAAGAGAGATGATACCAGGAGCCCTTCCCAACATTAAGGACACTTTAGTTAAAAACGAACAGAAATTGACAATCACATTGCAAACAGCTGCCAAGTCTATTGACAAAAAAAAAAAAAAAAAGGCCAGTTTAAAAGTGTGCACAGCGTGGCTTCCTTGTAGGCGGTTCTGCAGTCCCAGCCTTCTCATTTGTCATCCTTTCTTCCAACAGAAAATCAGCCTGGAGTTCTATATTGACATCCACGCCCACTCCACCATGATGAACGGCTTCATGTATGGCAATATTTTTGAGGATGAGGAACGGTTCCAAAGGCAGTCCATTTTTCCAAAGCTCCTTTGCCAGAATGCCGAGGACTTCTCCTATGTAAGTCAAAAGTTCTCCTATAGCCAGGCCCAGCCCTGGGCACCTCAGTGCATCTTTCTGTCACACCTTCCTCTCCTCCTTCGGCTTCATTTTCATTTGGCTTGACAGGGTGGTGGTTGGTCTGTCTGGTCCCCTAGTGTCTGTTTAATGAGTCAGACTCCAACATTTACAAGGCAAGGAAACTCATCGCCTGGTCTTCCTGCTTCATGCCTAGCCCCAGTTCTTCCAGCAGAACAATGTGTCTGCTCACCATTCTCATCTTCCATGACTTTTTTTGGCCTCAATTTCTTTGTCAGTAATTGGCGAGTATATTTCTTTTTACCCTGCCCGTACCACAGCTTCCTGAGCAGACATATGTAGCTATAAATTTGAAAAGTCCCTTGCAGGCACAAAAGACCTCAACAACTTCCAGAGACATGCAAGGTGGGTGGGATGGGCTAGGTGGGGACAGTTAGAAATTTTGTAGCACAAATCAGTGTCAGAAAAGAGCAGGGAAGAAGATGAGAAGGGACATCAGCATTCACTATTGGGACATGGGGATGTTTTTACTCATTTTTCCTTTGTTTTGATACTAAACCTCGGAACCTTGTTACTGCCATATGGCCAGTTGGGAAGAGGCCCACAGAGGTCATAGCAATTTTTGAAGCTGATGAGCTGAAAACTCACCTGCTCATTGCCTCAGGCTGGAAATTAGTGAGGATGATGAATTTCTCTGTGTGGTAAGATACACTTTGAGTTACAGTCTTTAGATGGAAGACCAAGAAAATTGGGAGTTATTTAGCACACTCTTTTTTCATGTTATTTTAAAAAATTTTTAATTTATTACAGTTTATTCACTTTGTATCCCTGTTGTAGCCCCCTCCCTCATCCCCTCCCAATCCCTCCCTTTCTCCCTCTTCTCTTCCCATGCCCCTCCCCAAGTCCTCTGATAGGGGAGGTCCTCCTCTCCTTCCATCTGATCCTAGCCTATCAGGTCTTATTACCAAGAGAAACCTATGGACCAGAAAAGTTGGGAATCTACTGTCAAGTCATCTAGAATTTAGAAGGCAGAATCAAACAGATGTCTTCCCATTTCTAGCTATGGGACAAAAGCAGCCATTTGTTTGTGTAGGAGCTTGTATAATTTTTGCTCTGTAATGATTTCAGAGCAAGCTGACACCTCTAGGTCACTGGAAGGTATCCTATAGATGTTGGAAGTGCTCACAGGAGTGATGGTTCCTGGATCTAAGACAAGACATCATCTGGGCCATGTTTCTGGTCCAGGTGATATTTCTGTATCCCAGCTTGCTTGGGATTCTCTGGGCTGCCATCAGGGTCATCTGCCCCAATCTCATTCCTGTCTCTTTCCTGAGTCTCAAGAACTGGCTCTAAAATGGGAGAGGTATATTTTTACCGCATAGATTTCAAGGCCTTTACACTGGAGATTCTATGACTTTTCATAGTTTCCTTCACCTCTCAACCCCTACTTCAATGGGTCCTTTTGACATTAAAACATGATACTACCTTGGGAACAATATCACCGAGCTGGATGTTTAATTCTGATTATGATCACAATATAGTTTCTTCTTGCCCCCTATCTACCTTTCACTTCTTCTCTAACTCCACTCAGATTCCTACAAGTAGCTGTGCCTCACAAACTCATCTGGATACTTTCATTCAGTCACATTTTTTGACCAACCAATCTGCACAATAACTGAGGCAGTGAAGAAGATCCCAGTTGTCAGATGAGGAAACTGAGAACTGGAGGCATAAGATTTGATCAACATCTAAAAGTTGGTGTGAGCCATCCAGTTCTGATTCTCTCTCTTTCCAACTTTATCTTTCACAGACTAGTACATCCTTCAACCGAGATGCTGTGAAAGCAGGAACCGGTCGACGCTTCCTTGGTGGACTCCTGGATCACACATCATACTGCTATACCCTAGAGGTTTCTTTCTACAGCTACATCATTGGGGGTACTACAGCTGCTGTGCCCTACACTGAAGAAGCCTGTATCCTTGCCAGGTCCCCACTATTCCTAGACTAGCCTTCATCTAGCTGAGGCATCTCACTTGGAAGGATTTTCTAAACAGGTTAGGAGTTCGGTCCCAGCTAAGGAAAGTGCTAGGCTCTGGGGTGAAGAGGGGTGTGGCAGGTTCTATTGGAGGTGTTTCTGGATTGTCTGCGTTATCTCTGATCTTCCCACACCCTTCATATGGACATAGACAACTCAGCTGCTGCTTCCAAGCCACAAGTCTTCTTTAGAACCCCAGGCCCATGGCCTTCCCACTGCTTCCATCATTCTTGTCTTTCTCTTCAACCCTCTGCCCCCCCTCACTCCTACTCTCTCACTTTCTCTTTGCTCTACTCACTACTTTTCTTTGTCTTTCTTCCCACCCCTTCCGCCCGCCTCTCACCTGTCACTCCTCACCAATCACCTGCGTCTCCCTTCCTACTCACTACCCTTTCTCCCCTCCTTTACTTTTCTTTTTCTTCTTTCCACCCCCTTTTCTCTCTTCATCTGACCCTCCACCTTTCCTGCCCTACCCACCCCTGCCTTCAGCAACCAACAAATTGTTTTTTCTCCTGGTTTCCCAAAAATTTCTCTTAAGTTCACCATGGTAAAAACTGACAATTACTTTATACTTTTCTTGATTTTTCTTTCTTTCTTTTTTTTTAAGACAATGTATTCATTAATTTTAGCTTATTCGAAACTCGCTTTATTGGGTCTGTGACAGGTTCTAATAGAACCTTTAATATTTATCTTTGAGTTTTAAATTGACTCATTTCTCTTTTCTAAACTTGTAGATTTTTTTTTTCAGAGAAAGAATTATACTTGAGAACATTTAAAAAAGAAAAAGGATAGGGTAAATTCTGGATATGTGTTCCTTGGTGTGCTGAGACGGTTCCAGACCCCTATGGTTCCTGAGATCCTCTGATATTCTTGTCCCTACATCTAGTGTAGTATTTGAATGTATCCCACATACATCTTCCTGTTTACTTCAAGGTATGGTTTTGTTGTCTGTTTGTTTGTTTTGTTGTGTCTTGGAAACAATGTCTCTCTATGGAGTCCTGGCTGTCCTGAACTCACTATATAGACCAGGCTATCCTCAAATTAACAGAGACTTACCTACCTCTGCCATCCAAGGGCTGAGATTAATGGTGTGGGATACTAAGCCTGGCCTCAACGTATATTTTAGTATATTTTAAATCATCTCTAGATAACAATATCCAGTGCACTATTTGCGATTCTTATATTGTATGGTTTGGGGAATGATGACAAGAAAATTGTACATGGTCAGTACAGACTCCATCTTTAAAACTGTCTTCTATATGTGATTAGTTGAATCTTTAGATTCATGGATATGGGAGGCCCATTCACTATGTGTACAAACTACCCTTCCCCAAGTTAAAGTGATCACACTAGCCTTTTGTAACTCTTGGTGAGTATTCGTGGAGTTCTTACGATAAGCCATGTGGGGAAATCTTTTATGCTAGTGGAATGACCTGGACCCAGCCTACTGAAGCTTTAGTGAGCCCCAGTTATTTTATAGAAATTTAAGAGCCCAGGGTGGTAGCCTCGAAAGGGGGAGGGTAATAAGGAGTAAGTCAGGGTGTTTCAGAACCCCTAGTGCCTTGGAAACACCATGATAAAAACTGAGTGGTTTCCCTACAGTCAGCAAGACCGAGATGATCATCTTAAAATGGCCAACAAAATAGCCCCTGCTATGAGGAAGAGGAGCCATGGCTTCCCAAAGTCTGGCCATCTCTTAAACGCCACACTGTCCCTTGCCACCCTCTCCTTGCCAGCATTTGGTGGTGTGATCCTCCAACTTCTTATCATGTGTGAAGGTCAATCCCACAGCACACCTACTTTGCTCTCTACAGTATTGTGGCAAAGGAGGTGATAGAAATTGTTTAGAAGATGTTTGATCTTACAGACTAAAGAAATTCTAAACTCATTTCGCAGTTAGACACGGGTCTCTCTGGAGGATGTTGGTTTGTCCTTGTCTCTTGGTGTCTGTCCACTTTTATGGGTTCTCCCACGCTTTTCTGAACTTCTGGCATGGTTTGCCAATAGAAACTTTATGTTTACTAAAATACCCGTCCTCAGCTCACAGTTTCTGTCCCTTAACGCCCAATTCTCCTTCACCAAAAATAAACATATATTATATGCCGGGAATCGTACCCAGCGCCTGGGGAAAAGTACTGGGAAAGAGAGCACCCTGGGGCTTTCATTCTACTGTGGAGACAGAAGAGAGAAGAGATAATTAAAATACCCATGATAAGCTCAGTGACAGAGGGATTCCAGAAGGTTAAGAGACGGTAACATTTAAAAGAAATATATATATGTAAGTCAGCTTGCTAGCACACACCTGTGATCCCAGCATGTCAGATACAGAGGTAGGAGGATCATGAATTTGAGGCTAGCCTGGGCTACAAAACAAATTCCAAGATAGCCTTCAAGAATCTCCTTCAAAACCCAATTCTCCCACTACTACTGCTAATAATGGAAGTGGTGTGTGTGTGTGCGTGTGAGTATGGATGCACATAAATGTATATAAGTGTATATGCAAGCGAGTGTGAGAATGCACATGAGTGTGTCAGTGAGTAAGTGTGAAAGACAGAAGGGAGGGGAAGGGAGACAGAGTGCAAAGAGTGCCAGCGAAGAGCCAGGTCAAATTCTAGATACACTGTAGCAGTAACTGAAAATGTCTTTACTGGGAATAAGGCAGAATTCAAAACTGCCTTGAGTCCCTTAAGACTTTCTCCTAGAAGGCCCCTCTCGACTGAGATTAATATTGGGCAGGATTTAGTCCAACGGGCTTGGAGTGCACCCCTTAAAGAAGAACACTGCACAGAGAGGCAAGGAGGAAAAGCATGCATCTATAGCAAGAGTATAAGTGGTCTGACTTGGGCAAAGGGCTTCAGATATAGGACAGAAATCTAAATTTGCAGGCCAAAGGAATTTGAACTTGAAGAGTGGGTGATGAAGAACAACAGCTGTTTTGTAAACAGTGGGAAGTCACCCTGGCTGCGCTGAGGCAGGCAGGGACGTACAGCAGGAGGTTGTCAGGACAATCCACATGAGATTGCTTCAAGCCAATCCTAGGTGGCAGCTGCAGGGTATTTGAAGGCGGGAACCGCGTTAGTGCACACAGGAGCTTGATACTGGGAGGGCTCCCTGGCGACTGGAGAGGCCCTGCACCACTTCTCAGCACCTGGAGTCACCCTGCCTGTCAGTTAGGGGAGAGGAGGAGCCTGGACCTGCACCTGGGAAGCGCAAGCCAATTCAGTACATTCAAGGGTGATTTAACCTGCTTCCTCCTTGATGGACTTTTTTTTTTAAAGACTCAGCTCATAACAGAGGGAGAGCAGGCAGACAGATTGTGATCTTTGTCGGCTGCTGGCTCTGTGTCCCAATCAGAAAAAGAAATTACATGGTCTGATGGGAATGGCAATATGGTCTGGGAGGAAGCGTCCTCTAGACTGGGAATCAGGAGACCTGATTCTGACGACAGCCCAGGCCTCATCCTAGACAGTGCCCTTCAGCAAGTCCTCTAAGCTCTGGAAGGTGACTTTATCTTTATGACTTTTTTTTTTCTGCCCTGCTGTGGTACTCAGAAATACCCACAAAGACATAAGTGCTGTGCAAAGAACAGACTTTCCATTCCCACACAAGTGGGTTTGAAGCTTGCTTGCCTGAGCCACATAGTAGGTGGGCCACTTTGAGCAGGCTGCATAACCTCACTGGGCCTCAGTTTCTTAATCTGTAACTGGGAGACATAATGGTATGATGTTATAAGTTATCCAGTTATGATAAAGAGAAATAATTATATACATATTCAAAGGTCTCCACCATGGCTAGTGGTCTTTGGTACTCTGGCCTGTCCATGTTGTAGCAAGAATACAGGTCTGGTAGGAAAGTTCCAGCTGTGATTCTGTTTATATTCTGAGGCAGCTAAGCCAGCTATATAACCTCTCTAGACATCAGTTCTTCTTTCATGGGTCTTTCTCCCATGATTATTGATCACAGCTTGTTTTGGGCTCAGCCCCAGCCACCCTGGAATGCTTGGACGTGAGGACAGCAGTGAGTTACTTCCCAGGGTTGTAACGGTCACATGGGAAAGGTGATGTTGTCATGAGCAGGTGAATCAACATGCCACATGCTTAGTGATATTAGTTATCATTCTCACCTTTCCTTCCTGTCGTCTGTTGCATTGTTGTTGTCGTGAAATGACAGATTCTTGATACTTTGGGGCCACTAGTCACTAAATCTTATTTACATTTTATTGGTCTGACCACTAAGAAATATGCTATGTTCAAACAACTTAAAGAAAGAGAGAGGATAAACCAGAATCATAAAGTTACCCAACACTTCTCTGGCCTTTGTTTATGGTCTGGTCACAACCTGAGAGGAAACAGCTCTTTAACATAATGGATGGGAAAAATCCTGGGAGCTGAGCACCTGGGTCCTGAGCAGACATGCTTCCTGTGGCTGAAGCCATTCTGAAATCATATAATGCTGGCACCGGAGAATGGGACAGCTAGCCAGGAGAAGATACCAAGATTCTGTCAGCAAACTGATCCCAGTTCAGACCTCACTGCATCCCTTGCAGTAGGTCCTTTGAAATGTTCATCAAACTCTCTTATTTACTCATCTGTCCAACAAGACTAGTTAGATACCAGAAAGAGACAGAAGAATAAGGAAGGCACAGTGCCCATATTCCAAGAAGACGGTTTCAAGGAGAGAGAACAAGGGACAGATACAGCTACTTCACAGAGAATAAATGTCCTGACACAGGAACGCTTTGCTAACCTGAGGAGGGGAAAACAGGCAGCAGGGAGGGAAGAGGGAAAAACTCCCTAGAAGAAGAGAAACCAGGGCTCAGCCCTCCAGGGTAAATGGATGCAGGCTAGAAAAGAAAGGGGTACCTTCCTGGTAGAAGGAAAGTACCGGAGAGAGCCCAGATGCCAGGGAGAGGATGCTCTATCCAAGCATTCCAGGGTC